ATACTGTATTTTTTAGAAAGCACAAGAAGTTACAATTATTTAATGTATCAAAATGAAACTACTTTTTGATGCACAGTATTGTGGATAAAAATATATACTTACCTGAAAAGTTCAGATAAGTGTAAAAAATTCACAAAGTTGAATATATATGTAAATGATTTAAATGTTTAGGGTTTTATTTTTAAGCTTTTGGATTTGTGTGCTTATTTAAGTTCAGTACCTCTTTTATTAAGCAAAAGAAGGCTGGTATTAATGTTTTCCATGCCTTAGAGATAATCCTATTTATTAGGTTGTCACCATGGGCAAAGTAAAATAAAATATTCTAATCATTGTGTGAGATCAAATATATTTGATGGGCTTTTTGTCATTTAAATTTCTTCCAGTACTGAAATGTAAATTAGACAATTTAAAAATCATTTCATTGTTAAGAGAATAACATGGACAGAATATTTTTAAGTTTATTATTTATTTTTAAGAAGGCCACTGCTAAATTTAAGAGATTTAAACAGGTTAACATTCATAGATGCCTTTCAGTCAGGTCATCTTTGCTGCTATTGCTCTTTCTAAGCTGGTTTATGGATAACAAAGAGGAGTTAATGTGTCAGCTTTCAGTTTGGTCATTGTTCTGTGGAATCAGTTCTCAGACTCTATGCCAGTGATTTACCTCTGTACTGTCAGAGTTCTAGTGGTAAGCATCATTGGGCTGGTACTGAAGAGATCATTCACAGACATAGCCTGGCTCCAGTTTTAGTGTTTTATTCCATCTTCATTTGGTCACCTAGCTTCTCTTTTCAGATATAGAATTAAAGGGATTTTGTTGTTAGTTCTAGTGAGGGTGTGCAATATAATGTAACAAATAATTACAAAACTGATGAGAATTATTTATTTTCAATAGTTTTTCAGTTGTATAAAATGGAAAAGTGCCTGAATCTGAAAAGTCTGAATTATTTACTTAAAAAAATAAATGGAGACATGGTAAATTTCCAATGGTGGCACTGTTTTTCACTATACCACTTAGTATTGTTGTGATCAGGAGGGACAGTTTCAGAGATTGTCAATTGATTTTTCCCCACTGTGCTTCATCTAATTGTAAGAGCCATGAACATAATACAGCGATTACTCCAACTACCTTGTACATAAGTTCTAAATACACACTTAAGGACTGGGGAAATTATCACTGGATGGATTCACATACACAGTTAGTACACTGTGAGCAACCATCTGTTACTTGCTTCCCTCTACCACCCCACCCCCCACTACACCTTGACCCCATCCCTAATAATATGCCATGATGACAATTTGAGTCCATGGGTATGTGTGTCACTTCTGATCTCATGTCTGCTAATAGACAAAATGATTGTTTATTCCCCTTGCACCATTTATATAGCAATGTATATTATTGGATATATTCTCAAGCTTGTGGCATTAAGTATCTTCAGGGATCATTTTATAAATTTTTCAAGACGTTTTAGTGTTTTTCCTTCAGATCCAGCCACCTGTTTATTCAGTGGATTCTGGATTTGAAAATTAAGTCTGAGAACTGAGCAGAGAATCATGACTTTCCATTGAAGCAACCACCTTCAACTTCCTGTTCCACCTTCCTTGCTTAATGGAAAACTAGACACCCAAAAGCACCATTGTTGGCTGTCTACCTATTTCACCTCTCAAGAAACCATGCTTTATTAATCATCCCTACAATTCTTTGTGAACCAATCCCCTTGGCAGCACCTACATTCTTGTTAATTTAATTATGGTAATTATGGCTCCTGAGTCTGGCAGTTAAGCATTGACATCTGTCCTTTATTACTCTGGGCACCCATGTCCCTCACCTCATGGCAATTAACAAATCTGACCCTGTGACTGCCTTTCCTATTTTCAGCTCTAGTCTACAAAAGGAAGGCATATTATATTATAATATCATAGTATATTCCTAATGATCTTGGTGAAAGGTAAGACCTCCAGGCCTTCATGAAGCTGAACTGCTCCATAGTCCTTTTGGCCTTATATAATATATCCATTCCAGCATATTTCCTGTCTCTTGTGTTTTTATCCCTTTCTCTTCCACCTGCTGGGGCATCTCGGGTGTTTCACTTTCACTTG